GGGAGCTTAGAACAGGGAATGGCAGAGCTGAGAGGGAGCTTAGAACAGGGAATGACAGAGCTAGAAGGGACCTTAGAAAGCAGAACAACAGACTTAGGAAGAGACTTAGAACATAGACTGTCAGAGCCTGGAAGCACAGTAGAACATCAGCTGTGACCAAAGGGTGGGGGAGATCAGCTAGGGTCACACCTTCATTTTCTAGACTCTGAAAGCACCAGTGCCTTGCCCCCTCGATGGAATTGGTGGCCAGTTGGGGTTGGAGCCCTTTCTCAAGGGTCCCAGAGGCCTCCTTTCGCCTCCATCCCTTAGAGCTCCCCCATTTGATGACAGGGGACAGTTCAGTCATCTCCTGATGACCAAAAGCCCATCCTTAGGGACTGACCCCTTTGGCTTAAAATTCCATGCTCTGTTAAAATGCAGAGTGGTGGGGAAGAGAGCTAGGCTCTTATTGGGTGAATAATAATCAACCTGTCTGAATGAATATGTCAGATCCTTTTCTGGGAGTATGTGCTATGGATGGGCAGATAAAAGAGGAGGGCACTGAGGGCCCGGGGGAAGTTGGGGTGGGGGAAGGTTATGATTGCTTCTTCAGTCATCCCTGGAGAGATGTTCTTTTGGGGGACACGCCTCTTCCGTTTATACCCCAAACCTCTATAAGGGCAGATGCATGCTTTGACCCTGGCCCCCCAAAAACAGGGCCAAACTTGGACCCCTCAACTTGGCCCTCTAAAAGAAATGAGAATTTGTATCCTTTCTTCCTCCCAAAAAAGATTGCTCGGCCCCTGAGACATTGTGGGGAGGGGAGGAGGCAGGGAGGAGGAAGGGAGGGGCTGCAGGGAACTTCAGGATCATAGCATCTTAGATCTAGAACTAAAAGAAAACTCTGAGGTTACCTAGTCCAATCTCCTCCTTTTACAGATGGGGAAATTAAGTGACTTGCCCCAAATCACACATGTAAGTAGGATTTGAACCGAGGTCCTCTAACTCCAGAGACAAAACATGGAGAGCCAGAGCAAGCAGCCTAGGAACGGGGAGTTGGGGCAGGTCAGCAAGAAGCTTCTCCTTCCCGCCTCTAGTCATTCCAGTGAGATTTTCACTCCCTAGGCCCACTCTGCACACACACACACACACACACACACACACACACACACAGACACACACACACACAGACACACACACACACACAGACACACAGACATACACACACACACACACACACACACACACACACACAGACACCACCTCCACTGACCAACGATTCTTTGGAGAACAGAGTGACCATCCTTTGGCAGTCTATGGCCTCAATCTGATGGTCAGGGGTAGGGGCTCCCCCCAGCTCTGGACCCTCCTGAGCCATCATATCCACCATCCATCCTCTCTCCACACCAGGAGAGGGAAGGAGGTGTGCCCCAGAGGGGGAGAGGTCAGATGCACCCTCCTTCCTTAGCCTCCCCCAAAGAGGGATCTCTCTAGCCCTGCCCTGCCCCAAGGCCCTGGGACTGAGGGCCCCAAGAGCTAAGGGGAAAAAGAAATGGAAAACAGGGGGACCCACCGGGAGCCAGAGGCCAGGGCTGGAGGCTGTCAGCAGCAGAGGGTTGGAAGGAGGGAGGGAGGGAGGCCAGGCCAGGAGGCTGCCTCTGGCTGGGGCGCCTGTCCCATCGGTTCTGAGGCTGGTTCGCCGGCTGCTCTCAAAAAAGCTTTTTATGTGAGAGTGTGTGTGTGTGTGTGAGTGTGTGTGGTGTATATCACATGATTGCCGTTCACCTGTATTTCGAACAAAGACGGCTCACTGTTTCAAGGCCCCAAACCCGAGCCCAGGCACAGGGAAGAAGGGCGGGTAGAAGGGGTGGGGGTTGGCTGCACTGGGGGTGGTGTCGAGGAAAACTGGGGGGGGATTGTCAGAGTCCAGCGAGGGAGAGAAAGAGAAAACCCTTATCAAACTCCTAATTCATTGGGCTCCTGAGCCCTGACACTGGTCTGATTGTCTGATCTGGTGTGTGTGTGTGTGTGTGTGTGTGTGTGTGTGTGTGTGTGTGTGTGTGTGTGTGTCTGTGTGTAGGGTTTTACAGTGTCCATCCCCCCCCCACACCCCCTGGCCTTCTCTGTATGTGACTCTTTCATTGTGATTCACTCCCCCTTAATCTGGTCTTCCCTGGGCATGGATTGTCCTATGCCCCCTGCCCCAGACAGGACCCCAGGACAGAGAGCTCTCTGCTCTCACTCAGCAGCTGGTGGGCTACTCAGGTGTCCGGAATCCCTGTCCTTCTGCCCCTGACTCCAGCTTAAAGGGGCCTCCCCAACTCCTTCTTCCCCCACCCCAAGCCTGAGGGCCACTGGAAAGGACATTCAAGGACTGGGCCACCAGAATAGGGTAGGCTTTGGGAAAGCTCCAGGGTAAGGTCCCAAAGGCCCACCTTTGGAAACCCACAAGAGACCAGATGTGCAAAATAGGAGAAAAAAGAGGGTCAATTTAGCAGAAAGAGGGTGCTCAGGGGTCACCAGACGTGTTCAAGTTTTCCTCTGATACTACCTGTGTGACCCTATGCAGCTCAGCCTCTCTGGGCCTCAGTTTCTCAGCCGTAAAATAAAGGATTCTGGACTATGTGATCTCTGAAGTCCTTTCCAGGTTCCTAGGACCCTATTTTTGGGGGGGGACATAATGAGGGACAGCAACCAGAAACAGGACGAGATGTCTATAGGGCCAGGCGAAGAGCAAATGGGGGAGTAGAACCCTGGATCGGGGCCCTGAGCCCCATCACAGCCAAAGGGCCGAGATCACACAGTAAGTGATTCAGGACCAGGGCCGGGGCCAGGGCTGGCTACGATGTCCGACGGGGCACGGAGGGAAATTCTAGTGGGTTTGGGGCTCCCTCAGTTAGCTGCTTAAATCTCTCCCTTAGCCTGTACCCACACGCCTTCTCCCATTCACTTTCCCTGTGGGGAGTCAGGGCTGAGGTCGTCAGAAGCAGGGAATGGGGTGGGGGCTGTCTCTTCCCTCCTCTCCCTCTTCCAGAGCCTGCAGAGATCCTGGCCTCCAAGGCCCAGGCACCAGAAATTCTGTTGGGGGGGAGGGGGGGAGACCCTTGACTTTAGAGAGGGAAAATTCCATCCCCTACTCCCCTCCCCCAATTCATTCCTATAAGCAACCCTCCCTCCCCCATCTTAATTCCCTAGCTGGACCAGAGAGGAGGCATGTGATGGTGACACACTGGCCACACCCCTCTCCCCCCGACCCTATTCTACTCATCCCTTCCCCCTTGCCCCAGGTTAGCGCCACTAGTGAACTCAGAGCAGGGAGCTGAGCCGGGAAAGAGGAGAAACAATCAGCTCAGTGTTTCCAGACTGAGACCACCTCCCCAAGCAGGTCTCACACTGCTCCCCACCCCAGGCCACCTCCACCCCCAATATCCTCCCCTCCACCTCTTCTGCCCAGGGCATGAGCATAGGAGACACAGATGCACAGACTTGTCAGAGCTGAGAGAGCCCCTAGAACAAGGAATGTCAGGGCTAGGAGAGCCCTTAGAACAGGGGATGTCAGAGCTGGGAGGGTCCTTAGAACAGGGAATGTCAGAGCTGGG